CAGTCCCTGGGTTGGGAAGATCCCCTAGAGTAGGAAATGGCAACCCACTCCAGCACTCTTGCATGGAGAACCCCATGGACAGAGAAGCCTGGTGGGCTAAGGTCAGTGGAGTTGAAAAGAGTCAGCCAGAACTAAGCGAGCACAGGCAAGCACCGAAGCAGCATTTCAGGACTCAGATTGATCACTGGATGGCACCACACAGGTGGACATCCGTGTCAAGGAACTGTTCTGCCCTCGGGTTCTCTCCATCCAGGGCTGGTCACGTGTGTCTCCTGAGGATGGCGCTTTCTCTTCTCGCCACTACGCCCTGCTTTGAATGCCCCTGGTGGTAGTTGGTGCTGGTTAGTTGTTCAGTCGTGTCTGACTCCTTGCAACCCCACGGACCATAGCCGATAGGATTCTCCAGGAAAGAATATTGGAGTGGATTGCCATTCCCTTCTGCAGGGGCTCTTCCCAACCCAGGAACCCAACCTGGGTCTCCTGCTTTGCAGTGGATTCTTTACCATCCGAGCCACCAGGGAAGCCCTGCTTTGAACGCTGCTCTAATTCAATTAGCCCTCATCCCCTAAACCAAACACATCATAAACTCCTCCAGAGAAATTCTAAAGACCACCCACCACATCCCACTCGTTCCATTTATTCTGCAGCAGGCACTGAAGCATCTCTACTCTTCAAATAAGGGACAAAGAGGGAAGACCCAGGAAAGCAGGAAGCCAGGGCCCCCTGAACTAGAAAAGGATTAACTACATATTTTTAATTCTGGTGAAGACAAAATGAGAAGTTTTATCTCTCTAACCACAAAGTGTAATTTCATCTCTATGGTATAAAAGCTGCTATTAGATGCCTCTTTATATATGTCTTTTAATTTATTTACTTTTAATTGGAGGGTAAATTGTTTTACAACATTGTGTTGGTTTCTGCCATTCATCAGCATGAATCAGCCATAGGTATACTTATGTCTCCTCCTTCTTGAACCTCCCTCCCACCTTCCACCTCATCTCAGTGCCCTAGGTTGTTACAGAACACTGGCTTGAGTTCCCTGAGTCATACTGCAAATTCCCACTGGCTACCTATTTTACACATGGTGTTGTATATGTTTCCATGCTACTCTCTCTATTGCCCCTTTCTTTATATTTCAGTGAGGTTGGATGTATGGGACATGAGGTAGTTCCAAAGCTTCCTTGGTTCTTATACCTTCAGAGTCCTGGTATCCTTAAAAGATATCATAAATATGGAACTGATAACATTTTGAAATTCTGGTGGGTTTTCCTGTGGATTTTCCCACAGAAGGAAAAATGGGGCTGCCTCTGTTTCAGAAGAAACCCATTTACTGCCCAGGAGCAGATCATCTACAGAAAGAATCTGTACCATCAAATTCAAGGACACTCTCTTAAAACACTGCCCTGGGGGAGCAGGGGTAGGAGAGGGGTGGAGTGAGAGGGTGGGTCTACCAGATGCAAACTTATATATAGAATGGCTAGCAAAAGGTCCTAATGTATAGCACATGGAGCTATATTCAATCCTGTGATAAACCGTAATGCAAAAGAATATGAAAAAAAGGAAAAAAAAACATTGTCTTAAAACAATAGGACTTGAGCAGGGGAGCATCTAACTGTGTTCTTATATATTCCTGTAAATTGGATACATAGTTGAAGACAGGTGAAGTTCATGGAACATTGTCCTAATTGCCTTCTCATGTGGGCACCCCAGTACAACGGGATCCAAACTGCGCGCTTATATAACAGTCGACATAGAACCCAGCCTGAATTTAAGTAACAAGCTCTGAATTTGACTTCTTTTCCTCCACTACATCTTTAGCACTGTTTCATGTCATATAGCAGCTGCTCAATATGTATTTACTGAAAGAATGAAATGGATATTTTAAAGCTTACATTTTCACCTCTTTTATTATTCTGTATTTTTAGTGCTATCCTGTTGTGGACTGTGCCTGTGACATGAGGTAAATGAGAGGGGGACATTAAAGTAATATTAACAAAAACTAATAGGGTCACCTTCCTCTAAACACAATGAAAGTCTGTGCGTGCAGCCCCCAAAGACATCGTGCAGCCAAGCTGGCCTGACTGCAGGCCGGCCACCTCCATCCCCAGGAACCAAGGCCCCGACTGGTGCTGGCCAATCGGCCAGCCCTCTCCACTTTCTCAGGGTCCATCACAGGCATCCAGGAAACTCCAGTAAAAGACCCAACGAGCCCAGATTCTCCACAAACAAGGCACCATCGACACATCCAGAGGGCCAGCAGCTATAAGCTCTCTCTCCCATCACACCTGCTCTTTTATGTTTCATCTCAGACATAATGACCTCAGATCCTCAAAAGTCCACATGAGACGCACGGACATATCCCGGCCCCCGGCCCCTCCCATCCCCAGGTTCACCACAATACACCAGGGCGCCTGTGGTTTAAGCTCCGGGACCCCTGGGGGACCCCGCCTGTCTCTTTACTGCTGATGCCGGGCTCCACACAACCAAAGAAAGGGGGAGGGAAGGCGTGAGGAAAAGGAAAACAGAAAGGGAGGGAGAGAGGGCAGGATTTGCTCGGCCGGCCGTGGAGTGAAGAGAGGTTCAGAGGACTGCCTCCTTCTGAAAGAGCAGTTATAGTCCTCAGCATGCTCATGGGCCAGGAGAAGCCCTCTTTTTATTCATCGGAAGCAGAAATCCCGCAGAGCTGCCATGCACTCGCCCTGCACACCTACAGACACTGGAAGCCAGAGACAACAGCCAGGTGGAGCCTCCGGAGTGCTCTGCCACACCCCACAAAGTGTTCAGGAAGAAGCCTGCCAGAATGTGCTCACAGCAAGGTTCCCCAAGCCAGGCCACGGACATGGTCAGGACCACTTGCCCATCCCCGGAGGCCCTGAGCAAGGCAGGCAAACTCAGCAGCTCAGCCCAACATGGGCCAACACACAATCTTGTAAATCCTTCATTCCCAGGATCAAATGTGCCTGGTTCAGTCCATGAAAAACAATGGGAATCACAACCAAAACCACAACGCAATCAGAAGGATCTTCAGAAGAGCTGGGAAAAACAACAGCCAGTTAGTTACAAGCACAGTTGGCCAAGGGTTGTTGAGATCCCTGGTACTGTGCTCAGTCTTGTCCAACTCTTTCCGAACCCCTGGACTGTAGCCCGCCAGGCTGCTCTGTCCATGGGGATTCTCCAGGCAAGAAGACTGGAGTAGGTTGCCGTGCCTTTCTGCAGGGGATCTTCCCAACCCAAGGGTTGAACCTGGGTCACTTATGTCTGCTGCATTGGCAGGCAGGTTCTTTACCACTAGCACCACCTGGGAATTTTGAGATACTGGGGATGCCTGCAACTTTTTAAATTCAAGTTGTTTTAAAAATGTTTTCCAAGACATAAGCTGGAATATATTCAGAGAATAATGAGAAACCTAAAGATGGATTTTCTCTTTGACTATCAACCAAACAGCAAAGAAGCCTCTCTTCGGTGTCTTCCTGGCCTCCCTGGTCGCCATCAAAACACCATCCAACCTTAGAGCCGGACCCACCGCCCTAATAAGTGTGAGCTGGAGCAGTGCCAAGGGGTAGGGCCCACGTGGGCAACACTCATTACCACTTTCTTCCCAAAGAAGATGATAGAAAAGGCCGTGTCTCATTTCTCCCTGCTCCCCCTATCAACCCAGTGAAGAAAACGTCCAACAAAAATTCTTCTAATGACCTAAGGAGGCTGGCCGCCCAGGCACAGGGCAGGGAGAGGAGAAGCCGCTCGGAGCTCTGCTCCCACCTGGCCAGCCCTACACACTCCCCAGGATGCAGTACTCTAAGTGACAGAGGCAGGCACCTTGCAGTCTCAGAATTCCTCCCTGTCCCACTGGCAACAATATCAGTTTTAAAACATGAAATGCCTGTGGACACAGTATGACACTGCATGTATCACAGATGCATGCACACAGACACACAGGCTTGGTGGCTAACGCATGTTTTGAATCCATCTGGTGCATTCCCCAACCCCCACCATTTCATTGCGCTTTCGCGCAAGTGGCCACAAACAGTGGATCTAAATCTGGCACGTTTCGAGGTTAAATGACGCAGCACATACAGAACGTGATCCCAGACAGTGCCTTTGTCCCCTCACCATCCATGGAGGCCTGCACACAGCTCCGAGTGCTGCCCGAGGCATGCCTGCGCCTCTCTAACCCTGGCACCCCCCGCTCCTTCATCTCAGGCTCACAGAAAAGACAGACACCTGGGTGGGTCTGCTCCCCCCTCCCAACGCCCCCCCCCTTGTCCCCTCAACACACACGCAACAGCTGTAAGAGCAAGGAGATCGTGTTTTTAAAATTCCATCGGTTGGTGTAGGCACAGAGTCGGAAGCAGCTCCAACATGGACATAGAGTAAAAAATACCAGTTTTCCAAAGTCTGTAATTATGTATTTACACAAATTACATAATCCTGTATGTATTTACATACAATTACAGATTATCAAGTAAATAACACAGCATAGTGTCAATGAGATGAAATCGCATGAAAACCATAAACTGAAGCCGTTCACTGACCCACAGCGCAGGACATGGCGAGGACAGGTGCCCCAGGGTGACCTGGCAGGACATGGCGGGGACAGCTGCCCTGGGGTGACCTGGCATGTCCTTCGGCACGGCCTGGGGACAGGTGCCCCAAGGTGAGCTGGCATGTCCGTCGGCATGGCCTGGGGACATCTGCATGACAGATGGGGGGTGATCAGTCCATGCCCGTTAAGTCTGTGACTGAGGTGCAGCATTTGGCACCAGTTAAGACAGCGGTTTGACCGGCCAGGCTCATGTTTATGAAAACTAGACCCACCACTCCAGAAGTGGGGGGGTCAGCTGTCCACGGCCTTGGGTGCCTTACGACAAGAACCAGGTGCAAAGCCAGGAGCTGGGGGGCTCACTCCACGGCCCCACAGGACAGTGCTGGCCCCAGACCTGAGCCATCCACTCCCCCAGCACACTTATGTACAGAAATTGCATAAGTCAGTATTTATTTATTTACACACCATTACAGTTTATTATATCAGTTGCCAAAGCATATAACATTTTGTTTTTCTTTTAAAAAAAAAAAAGTCACTGAAAAAAAAAAAAAACATCCAAAAGTCGACATTAAAGTAGCACTTTCTAGGAACCCATGGGGAGCTTTGTCTTTTTCACAGATGGTTTTCTTTCCGACGGGTCAATCCAGCATCTAGTGCTACCTTAAGATCACTTTTGGCTGTCTCCTAAAATCAGTTTCTTCAGTGCTAAACATTGTACCCACGACATCCTAGAAACGTGATCCTTCCCTGTGGTCAGAGGCCTGGTGTTTCTCAGCCAAAAATATTAAATGCCTTTTGGAAAATCTACAGCCTGAATATGTGCACATATTAGCAGCAGCAAAGGGTTAAATAATAAATAAGAATACTACATCTTGGGATTAAATGCAGCTTCTGTTTAGAGAAAAAAAAGAAAATAAATGAAGAGGACATTCTGACCTTTATCATAAATCAGATATTTTACATTGCTTCTGCCCCCTCCCCCACAACATTTCTTAATTCCAAACACTGGACTTGGTTTTTCCTTAATGCACATCAGTGAACCTGCCGGTTCTCCACTTTGGGTCAGGGAAGGGGCCCCTGTGCTCATGACAAGAAGCCATGAGCTTCTACCTCAAAACAGCTTTGACTCACCAGTGACATAGTTTTATTTTTCATAGAGAATGTGCATCAGAGCAAAACAAAGTTAGAATATTAAACTTTAAAATTAGTTACATAAATCCCAACACATTTTTTAACTGTCACTTTCTATTTCCCATGTAACTGGCTAGAAAATGTTATATGTGGTATTTGAATTTGTTATAAATTTCTTTTTCTTAAATATTGCTTTAAGAATTTGGCTCTCTTCTCCTTAGTATAGAATAAGAAATAGTCTCCCTTGCCCAAGTGCAGGTTTCAAAATTATTGCTACTAAAGAAATATGTATTCTTATGCTTTTCAGCATAAAATGTTATAAAAGGCTAGTAAAAGATATTATATAGTAACTTCCCCTCTAAAAAAATCAAGTGCTTGTGAAGACCCTTTTAAAAAACAGAACACAGTCAACAAGTATTTATTTTCCCTCTCATTGTCATGATTGATGGAGATTTATTAGTTTCATTATGCAAGTCTTATTTGAAGGGTGTTTTTACCAGGTATTATGACAGGTCACACCAAAAGCAATTTTCTATAAAAGATGTTACAATGACCCCTATGGTGCTTGTGTAATTTAATATCTGAGAGCCAAGTTTATAACAATTACCCTGCAGTTTTGATTCAGATTCTTGTCCCCTAAAAAAAAATCTGTACCAAGTAATTTTTTTTTTTTCCTTTTTGAGAATTCTAAACCAGTACATGTTTGAAATGAGTCCTGTTGTTCTGGAGCTCGACTAAAACAAAAGCACAGTCATTGTTTAGCTTTGGTATATTCTGCAATAGATTTAGACAAGTAGGATATATACCAACCGTCATGTTCTCCAACTGTGATGGAGGAAGCCACTTAAGAGAGAGGAAATAGTACAGACACAGAATAAACGTTTGAGACCCAGTTAATCTTTAATCCTCTGGGATAAGCTATGGGACAAGCAGTCTGAAGAGTGGATACTCGGTGTCATGAGCGGTACGCGTTAGTTTACAGTAACATGGGCACGACAGCGGCTGTCGCCTTCGGGACACAGGGCCATTCGAGTGTCTGAAATCCATGCACGCCACGTTCGCACGTGGACTCACCACAGGTTCTAGCGGACTTGCCATTTAATGCTTACAGAGCCTAAAGCTTCCAAATGCCTATCTGGCCTGTACATATTTCATTAAAAATAAACTCTATATAATAAATAAATATATAAAATAAATAAAATGTCGCCTTTGGAATCTCTATAAATAAATTTAACTTTTTTTCTTTTTCTTTTTCTTTTTTTACTAAGAGGTCTTTGCTTTAAATTCACTGGGATGACACCCGTGACAAGGAACTGAGAAAGTCTTGTCGGTAAGACTGCGCCCACCGCACCTGCGGAGACGCAGTGGGCCCGTGGCCACCGGCCAGTCCCGACGTGTCCAGGTGGAGCGGCTGTGCTGACCAGGATGAAAAAGGACAGACCGGGCGGGTACATGCATGGCCTGTCCTCTCTGCTCCCCCCTCTCTGCAGGCCCTGCCCCCACGTGCCCCCCACCCCGCATCCCCAGCCGCCCTCTGCCCCAAGACCCACCCGGCAGCACAGCAGGCAGGGGTCCCGCAGGAGGACGGGCCCGGGGCGCAGCAGTCACATGTCCCCTCCACGCCTCCGTCAGGCTATGCATGCGACAGAGTTTGGCAACAATGGATGTGATGACACAGCAAATCAATAGGGACCCACCGCGTGAAACCTTTATAGTGGTTACTTTTTTAAGGGCTCAAGTGAAGAAACGGTCTTTGTCAACTTTGGCTTAGGATATCCTTATAGAGTTCGGGTACTTTGTCGGGGTCCACGGGTCTGGGTAAAAAATGGGTGAATTTCTGGTGCCGCTTAGTCCTGGTTCCTTCCCGGGGGGTCCCGTCCTTATTTAACGCGACGTAGAACCTCCGTCCAGTGTCCACATGCTTATACAGGTTGGAGGAGTACGTGTTGTACCAGTTCTCTTCAAACTGTTCTCTGAAGACACACTCTTGCGTGAGTTTTTCCTGTTAAAAAACAAAAGTATTTTGCAAAATTAGCTCCTTTCTGTATTTAAAAGTTGTTACATAAATGGTGAGAAAATACCGATTTTAACCCACTTTAAAGGCACTCTGCAAAAGCTACTTACCTCTATAAATTCAACTGTTTTAATTTTTTTGTAACGATTAAAGCACAAAAAGAATCTAAATTTTTTCTAGTTAAACTTTTCCGAGTGCCAATTATCTGAATGAGTCAGCGGGCAAAGGCAACTAACACCATGAGCTGTTCCTGTTTTCACCACAAGAGTTAGGATGGAAACCATCCTGAGGGTGGGGAACCTTCTCGTGGATAGAGTTTCAGGGAGCTGCTTCATCATCAGCGTCCTTTCAGAGTCCTTGCTGTGTGGACCAAATCGCCCATGACGTTACAAGTTTTCTTCCCTTTGAAGCAGTGGAAGTTATTTATTACTCTAGAAGAGTGGTTTTCAAACTTCAGCATGCAGAAGAATCACTTTGGGATACATTTTTCCTTTCAGTGTAGAGTTCCAATCCCCAGCCCTTTAAAATTCTGAGCCAGAAAGTCTGGAAATACGCATTTTGAACAGGCCCTTGGGGAATTTGGAGGCAGCCACCGCCGGGTCCACATTTTGAGATACAAAGCTTTCTATCAGGACTGGGTCTTCCTTAGCACAAAGAAGTGAAGACAAACATCCCAGCCCTCGGACTTCCTTGATCTTAGACAGAAGAACCATCCCCATCCCGGTTCAAAAGCAGAAAGGATCCACATTTTCGTAAATGTATTGCACTTTGCCCTTCAGTGGACCTTTATGAAAGCCTGGATTCCCAGGAACCACACAACCAGGGCCCCTACAGTCATGTATCCTGAGCACCAAAAGGAGTAAGGACCGGAGGCCCTGCTCACATCTCACCCCCACCGTGAGCTCACTCCAGGCAGACACAAATGAGGCAATGCGGGGCGGGTTGGGGGGCTGCTTTTCTCACCGTGCTGAAACTTCAGGGTCCACACCTTCCCAGGTGGTAGTGTAAAAAATAAACACTAAAATGACTTTTGAAAATATTCCCCTTGCTCTTGCACAGCTGGCCCCTTATATAAGTAAGAAAACCTACTATGTCCACGCAGTTACACACTTGAGGACACAACTCAGTGCACTGATTCACAGCCAGCCAGATGGACAGTGAGGGTGGGGACAAGGGGGTGAGTCCTGCTGAGGATGCTGAAAACCAGAGGCCTTGTGAGCCAGCTTCCTGACATCGTTCATCCGTTCACCAAATGCTTAAACCACCCGAGGCACACAGGACCCACAACTCCTAGGAGAGGCACTGCTGGGTGATCAAAATGCACTGAGTGGGTTGGTAATAAAATATGTCCTTGGACAAATCTCTGTTAAGTGAGCTGAACCAGGGGAAAGGATTGAGCAAAACAGACCAATGGGGAAACACTGGACCGCTGACGCCAGGTCTACGGGGACAAGGGGGTTGCAGGGGGAGCGACAGCCCCTCCCCTGGGCACTAACAGAAAGGCCCCCACCTCCCTCCACAAGCAAACCCAGAGGAAAGCCCTGCGCTGGGGAGACCAGGCTGAATGTGATTTCTCTTCCATCTCCATTAAAGCGGACAAAATAAAACTAGTGTTAAAGACATTAACAGCTACTTCAGACTTTACTTCCATCTGTATAATAAATATTCTCCCCACAGACAAGATTACTCCTGGCTTAAAAGGTCTGGTTTGAGTTTGCAGTGATTAAGTAAGTTTTCTAAGCAGGCGATGTTCATTTACTTTCTGCTTAATAAAGTGGACCAAAGAATGGAATTGTAGAGCCTTCAGTTCCACCAAGGAAATCAAAAATGGAATTCAAATCCAGCTTTCTTTTTCTCAGCAGGAAACCACATTACCTGACAGATGCATGTGTGTGCTAAGTCACTTCAGTCGTGTCTGACTTTGTGTGGCCCCTTGTACTGTAGTCCGCCAGGCTCCTCTGTCCATGAGATTCTCCAGGCCAGAACACTGGAGTGGGTTGCCATGCCCCACTCCAGGGGATCTTCCCAACCCAGGGATGGAACCCAGGTCTCTTGACGACTCCTGCATCGGCAGGCGAGTTCTTTACCACTACACCACGTGGGAAGCCCTGGCAGATACTTTATGAAACAGGGTTCCCCTCGTCCTCCTGGACCCTGAGCTGTGCCCCCGCTTCTGTCTGCTCTGAATATGGGTCACACCTGCTGGGCACTGGCCCTCCATGGATCAGGACAAGACACGTCACCTCAGGGTCTGCACCCATGAGGGGCTTGCCCTTGCAGCCACAGGCATGCTCCTAGTTTCAGCCTCCACAGCCCCTCCTGGAGCAGGTCAGCGCCACATCTGGGGAGGGGCCAGGTCAGGCGCACAGCTGGGGACTGGTGCCAGAGCTCAGGACACCTCTGGTCACCAAGAAGGCTGTGGACACTTGACATCAGAACCTCTCAGAACTGGAGCAAAGCTCAGCCAACAGCAAGTGCGTCTTTCCCCTGAAAACGCCCTCGATGGGGGTCCCTGCTCAGGATCCTGTCGTCATGGTGAAGGGGCATCTCCAGGAGCCCTGCCCAGACTCCCCACCTCCCACTTACAGAGGCTCCCTCCAGATACCCTGTCCATCCAGGGACTTCCAAGGCCCCTCCAAAGGGCTTTACATGTTTTGGGGGTATTGTCAGTTTACAAAAAAACCTTTTTAAAAAATTTGAACGTGGCTAAGAAACTGAACTAACCTTTTCACTGCTCCACAAACATGGCTCTGTTCCCCTTATGAGGCTGTTGTAACGTCGTTACACATACAATATAACTTTTTAGACAACTCAGAAAATGAAGTAAACTGTTCCACTATGATCTCCAGAGGGCAGTTTTTGTGATGGTTGAAAGGTCAATCATCTCATTCTTGGGAGGGTTGGATAACTTAGGTTAACTAGTTAAATGAGGCATGCAGACAATACACTGCCAAACGCCTGGTCCAGTTGAGCTCCTCTAATTATTATGCAAGGATTACAATGCTGCTCAGATGAACCTGCAGATCTTAAAAACTTTTTCTAATTTAAAGGATCATAAAAATTAAAGACCCTGATGCCTTTCTATACCATATATATGCTTTCAAATAATTTCTTCTTACTATTTAGGTTTATGTTAATATGCGATTTTTGTTTTAGACAAACACAGACAAAGTAGCAAGACTTACAGAATTAATCTCTTCATCACCAGACTTCAGTACTTAGCGATAAAATATTTAGTTGAGGTGAATATATTTATGTTAGGAATGTGTAGTCCAAAGTGATTTATCTAAATTAAAAATAAGTAAATGGATGCAAATCAGGACAGCAAAAAAATATATGTTAACCTGTATGTGTATATACACACACACACACACACACACACACACACACAGAGAAGAAAGTTTCTGCCTTCAAATAAACTATACACTTTAGAATTACAGAACTCAGATGTTTTAAAATTCACCACATGTTTCCAATGCAGACAGTTTATAGAGTATTCCACTATAAAGTGATCAATTCTTGTTTTATTGTATTTCCATGTTTTAATTTTTTTTTTTAGATTATTTAACTGTAGCTGTTTATGGCGTACCTATCTTTGAACTGCTGGATTATGTCACTAGGCTTGGGTGGAGAATGTGGCTTTAATTCAAAAGTCTTCTAAAGCCCATGCTTTGGAACAAAATCTGGTGAATGTTAGCAACTATGGAAACCTCTTTTCATTTTATATCATCAAATTCTAAGCAGTGGGAAAAACTGAAATTAAAACTTCAAAACTTTTACCAATCCTATTAAAACCAAAGTATGAGATAATAATGTGAAAATTATAGTATGCCCCAGAGAATGTTTAGGAATGTTATACGACATAAACTCATATGGACACTAATTTCAACTATTTGACAATTGGAAAATGTGTAATTCACATGGGCGTTACCATGCCCAAGTCCCCATTTAAAAACTGAAATCAGAAGTTTTCAAACTTTGAGAGTCAAGAGTTCTCATTGAAAATACATAGACTTATGCTTCTATTTTAAAACATGATTCCATTTTTATACATATAAACATATGGTGTAGTTCTAACCACACCACCCAAATGGTTGCTTGTGTTCAACTCAAAGAGTTGTTTAAACCCCCAGCATAAACTCACAACATGTAAATCCCAAGGTCAGAAGTCACATTGATAGGAGAGTTCCCGACCTTTTATAAGTTAATGATTTGATGTAATCTCTCATTCTCTGTTGTTGTTGCCCAGTTGCTAAGACCTTTCTCATCCATCACCGAGGTTCCCGCGTGCAGGCTTATAGATTCAGCGACCCTGTTCTCCTTACCTCCTTCTTGTTCAGTCGCCAAGTCGTGTCTGACTCTGCGACCCCATTGACTGCAGCACACCAGGCTTCCCTGTCCTTCACTGTCTCCTGAAGTTTGCTCAAACTCATGTCCATTGAGTCCATGATGCCATCCAACCATCTCATCCTCTGTCAACGCCTTCTCCTGCCTTCAGTCTTTCCCAGCATCAGGGTCTTTTCCAATGAGTCAGCTCTTCGCATCAGGTGGCCAAAGCATTGGAGCTTCAGCTTCAGTTCTTCCAATGAATATTCAGGGTTGATTTCCTTTAGGATTGACTGGTTTGATCTCCGTGCAGTCCAAGGGACTCTCAAGAGTCTTGTCCAACACCACAGTTCAAAAGCATCAATTCTTCAGCACTCAGCCTTCTGCCTATCATTTACCCCAGTCATGGTATTTAGACCTCCCTTAACTACAATTACTTGTATAGATGCACCTTCCTCATTAATAATCTAGCTGTAAAATCTTAGTGGGAATTGTTGCAAGGATCGGGGTGATTAAATATAATGATGAAAGGACCATTAATAAGAAGCCAGGTCTTTTAATGCTTCTCTCCTGGGAGAAGTCCCCAAACAGAAAGCAACAAACACAGAGAACAGGTGGGAAGGCACTGTGTCTTATTTGATTAGAAGCTCCATTTAGGTCCA